CCCCAGACGCTCACCCCCGTACTGAAGACTGTGAGAGGGGGCCAACCAGGGACCGGGGATCTGCCATCTCAGCAAGTGTCTGAGGTCCCCTGGGCTCGCCCCCTCCTGATCTTGGGTCACAGGCAGCTTCGTGCAGGAGTCGCCACGTCCAGCTCTGGCAAGCCCTGTGGGCCTGACCCAGTGGTGCGGGAGCCCTCACGAGGAGCAAGCCTGACCTGTGGCTGGCTTGGCAAGCAGCCGCTGTCAGGACAGTGCAGGGCTCTACCTTCCCATGGGCACGGCCGGCGAGCGTGGGCTGTGAAGGAGGAGCAGGTGCAGCTGTGGGCAGCAGAAATCCTCCTGGCCTTAGAGGGACTTCACCAACAGGGTGTATTGTGCCAGGACCTCAACCCCAGGAACCTGCTGCTTGACGCAGCTGGTAGGTCATGCCCCAGGCTGCTGCCCTGAGGAGGAGGAGGAGGTTGGCCTCTCAGCTGGGAGACTGCCATTTGCCCCATTTCCAGGAGACATGGACTTTCTTGAGTTTGCTTTGGGGGAGGGTGGGAGTCTGGGGAGGTTTGGATGTTTCTGAGCCTGGAAGTGCGGTCTCAGCTGGGATTTCCAAGCAGTTATTACAAGAGATGGCTCTGTAGCGGGAGAGTCAGGGGCCGTAGCCACAGGAATGCATTGCCCCTGCTCCCACGTGGGGGCTGGCTGCCTGGGAAAGCCCAGCACGGGGAAGCTGAGACCAGCTGAACTGTGCCTGAGGTTAGTGGGACTGGAGTTTTCCCCTGCTTGTAGTTACTGCCCGGTGGGATATTCTGGAGCCATCCCATCCCTTCGAGCCATGGGTACTGCTGTCTGTCCAAGTCCCTGCTGAGCTGGCAACATCTGGGGCAAACTGGAGAGGTACAAATTGCTCAGGAAAAGAAAAATGCAGAGAGCTTTGCAAGGGGAAAGCTAACCTCCCCCCCCCTTTAAAAACTGTTTCTTTCCTCACTACAGCCTCCACTGAGGTCTGTGAGCTTGGAGCCCACCTAACCAGTCTCACCAGCTAAGAATGCCTGCTGGGCATCTCGGGCAAGCACTGGGAGGCCAGGGGGTGCACAGTGCCTCTGCATTCAGAGCATGACGGGGGCCCATTGCCCTGGCTGTTCCCAGTTGCAAGGATATGGCTTGGCTTTGTGCTCTGACCAAAGTCCCTAGCATTGTCCTAACCTCCCTGCTTTTGGCTCTGGTGCTGCTCTGCAGGTCATGTCCGTCTCACCTTCTTTGGCCAGTGGACAGAGGTGGAGCCCCAATACTGCAGCCAGGCACAGGAAGAGCTGTACAGTGCCCCAGGTAAGGGACGCCTTCTGCCCTCTGCTCAGTAGCACCGACCGGGGGTGAGGGGGCTTCTGCAGGCAGCAAGATGTGCCCAGCACAGTACGGCCACTGGTGCTCCCTGCCTCTAGCTCTAACACCTCTCTGGCTCTTTCTGCAGAAGTGGGGGGGATTGCGGAGCCCACCGAAGCAGCTGACTGCTGGAGCTTTGGCTCTCTCTTGTATGAGTTGCTGACAGGAGTGGTAAGAGGCAGAGGAGCTGTGCAAGGAGGGGGGGGGAGGAGGAGGAGGTGACACTGTAGCGCAAGGGCTCCCTGCCATGCAGGGGCCGGGAGGGTGCCTTGCCTTGCTGGCACCTCAGTGCTGTGCCAGGTTGCTTCAGGTGTGTGATTCCTAGTGCCTGTGCATGGTCTCTGGGTGTTCAGGGCCCCAGGTTTTAAATCCTGCCATGTAGGGCTGGGGTTGTGTGGCAATGAAGGCTCAGCAGAGGGTGCTTCTACCCTCCTCAGTGCTGCCGCTTACCATCACACTCTGCCTCCTGCAGCCACTGTCCCAAAACCACCCTTCAGGGATTCAACCTCACACCCAGCTGCATCTGCCAGAGGGGCTCAGCCTGGCTGCTACATCGCTGCTCACGGAGGTGAGGGGCTTGGGTGGATAGGAGGGAGGATGGGTTAGAGGCTGGGGAAAGGCAGGGTCCAGCCTGGGTAGCTTCTCCACTATCCCCGTGTCCCCATCCTGCTGTCCCGTTCCCTTTCTCTGCAGCTCCTGCAGTACAACCCGAAGCAGCGCTTGGGCTCTGGAGGAGGTGGCATGGCGAAGCTGAAGTCCCACTCCTTCTTCAGCACCGTCCCATGGAACAAGCTGGTGGGCTAGGCAGGCTGTCCTTCCCGCAGGGAGCTGGGCACAGAGCCACTGTCCCTGGCATTTGTGACCCCAGGTGGCACTGGCAGCTCTGCCTGCTAGGGGGAGGTTTGCCTGCAAGGGCTGCCCCGGTGTGGGGTACACATGAGGTTTTGCAGCCTTGCATGTTCTGTCTCTGCTTGTGTTTGTTGGTGTCTCCAAGAGAGGAGGCTGTGGTCTGGGCCAGGCTGTCTTCTCCTCTAGGTCCTCCCTCATGGGAAAAGGAGCCCAGGTGCCCACCCCCAGAGAGAGGCTATGCTCCCCTTCTGGGGCATCCCCTTCTCAGCTTACCACTGTGCCCTGGGACTCCCTCCCTATGGTTTTTATCTCTGCTGCTACCCCAGGGACCCCCCAGGCCCTGTTATTTTTTGTGGCTTCAAAGTGCATCTCCTCCAGGCCCCACGGGCTGGTGCCCAAGCGTGGGGGTCTGTTCCCATCCCTGACTGCATGTGCGTGTGGGTAATGCCTGCTGTGGGGGCGAGATGGGAGGGACCCCTCTGCTCTTCTCCCCCCAGCCCTCTAAAAAAATAAACCGCTCATTATCGCTTGCGGAAGTGTCCTTTTCTTTCTGAGCTGGACCAGCCAGGCCTGGGCCTAGTGTGCTGAGCGAGGGAGAGCCCCAAATCTGTTTCTCAAACCTGCCTGGGAGCCCTGGGTTGGTGGCGCCCACTGGGTGTCACCACCCTGCAGCCAAAACCCAGAAGGTGACACTGAGTGTCCAGCCATCTCCGCTTGTACCCCTGCCTGCCTCATGGCCTCAAGTCTGCACAGCCATGCAGCTGCAGCTCAGAGTTGGGAAAAGTGCACAGCATGCCTGTGTTTTCTTCCAGCTTTGACTTTTGTTGTTGTTGCTCATTCTGGCTCCAGCCTCCTGTGCCTGGGTGCTCCTTTCTGCTGGCAGGACAGCAACCCCACTGCCCTCATTGCTGTGCTTTGAGCACAGTCATCCATGGGTAGACCAAACAGTGAGGGTTTAAAGGGATGAACTCTGAGAGCCAGCACAGATAGGAGGAGGATAAGAGTGAATACAAACTAGGATAGAAGAAAAAGCACAAACATGCTAACAGCCCAAAGCAGAGGCTGCTGTGCTCATTTGTGCAAGTCAAAGCCATAGGCTGGAAGGATGGCTAGCAATGGCAGCAGTGTAGTTTTGGCCCTCCTCTCCCAGCACTCCCTCCCATTGCTCACTTATCCCTGATAGTAAGGAATTACTGGCACCAGTGAAACTTTCCTATGGTTAGCTGGTTCCAGCTCTTCTTGCCACCAGCAGCAACACCCTGCTTGCTCCTCGCTGGTTCAGCCTGGCTCTCAGGCAGCAGCAGGAGCACTTGTCCACCAGAGGGAAGCAGAGCCCGGCAGAAACTCATCTCCCACCCCAGCAAGGGCAGGGGACACCTCAAAGGCTGCGCAAAAGCAAGAGGACTAACCGGGGAGCTGACCACTAATGCCACGGCAAGCCAGACAGCAGGAGCAGCTAAGCCTGGGGCTTTTCCTCTCTAGGGCAGCGTGCACTGGCTGAACCCTCCAACAGCAGGCTTGCACCCTTGGCCGGCAGCCTCCTAGTCCTGTGATTCAGGGGAGGTTCAGCAGGACTGACCCTTGACCAAAGCCACAGCATGGCTTCTTGCAACACAGTGCCATGGGTGTCATCCAGGAGGGTCAAAAAAAGGAAGCTTCAAGCACCACAGCTGCACGACCCTCCTACAGCAACGGCCAACAGGGCAGATTAAAAAAAGCAGTTTGCTAGGCTGCATCATTTTAAAAGCTTGACTGTACATTCACTCCCTGGGTAGTTCAAAGGCCTCATTTATTGCAGCTCCAGACAGAATACAGGCATTGCCCTTCCCCAGGCTCACATACAAAGTCAAGTTGGGCCCTCTGTATCCTAAACCAGCATGGAGGGCTGGGTGCTAGCAGCATTTTTTAATCAGAACCTTCTCTTTCACTCAATTTATTTGTTAAAGAGCAGCTAGACTCCTTGCCCTTCCTTTACTGGACAGGGAAGGGGGTTTTCCTCTCCTCCTACCCTTCTACCTCAACCAGGGACAGTCAGAGGAAAGCGGACTCCACACACCAGTTTGTCCATAGCTGCCAGGAAGCTGTAGGAACCAGTACTAGGAACTGCTCTCCCTTTCATCAGCATGCCAGCTGTGAGTGCAATCATATTCTGTTAAAAGGGGCTGTCTTCTTCACTCATAGCTGGGAAAGGCAAACCATTCTCTGAAGTTGATGTCAGAGCTGGAAAAACCCTGCCATGATCCAGGAACGATTTCGTACTGTTCCAACAAGGACAGCTCCTTGGGGAGACACTCAGCACCACAGACAGCTTTTGCTTTGCAGTTCTTTGATCTTGCCTCCCTTCTCCCTCTGCAACCCTTAACAGCCTTTTTCCCCACTTGCATGATTTATAACTCTCCCCTGTTGTAGCAGGGAAAAAAACCTGGCTCCACACCTGTACTTTAAGAGCCCATCCCAGGTCTCCCTCTTGGCCATCAGGCCATTTAGCAAACACTGGGATTTCCTCGCTGTCTGTGACAGTTCTGTTGCTGGACCAAGGAAAGGAGGATTTCCAGCCCTGAAAACCTCATCTTTGCTGGGAAGAGCCAATTCTGTGCCAAAGAGGGTTTAGCACAGCCAGAGAAGCCTCAATTTATTACCCCCAGTGATGGGCCCAGCTCCCGTTCCCTCTTTTCTCTCACCACCAGAAAACAGGCTTCTTACACTACACTAAGGAAGCTGCTGCCTGAGTCCTCACCCAAGAGCTGTTGCTCATTCCCTCAAACACACCCCACCTCGCAGTCGTTGCCCACTTTTATTTCATTTAAAATCCGCTGTGTTAAATATTTTAGTTACAAGTTCTGCGTAGAGGGTAAGAGTAATAGACTCTGCAGGCACTAGCAACCCCCTCACTCCCCAATACATGTGTGCGCTATCAGATTAAGGACTGCCCCCCTCCCCCCAAAACCAGCAGCCTTGGGCTGGGATGTACATTACAGTTAAAGACCTGGCCCTCCCCAGCTGTCTCTCTGCTGGTAGCAGGCCAAGCCCTTGCACGCAGGAAGCCAGCAGTCAGATCCACCGTCAGTGAGCTGTGATTCAAGGACAGCTGCTGGGGGCTGGTTCTTAGCCCCATGTCGGGCATGTAATGGTGAAAGGGTTGTCCCCCCAGGATCAGTGCTACCTCCACAGAGGTCACGGGCTCTGCCCACCCAGACAAACATTCACACCAGTGACCAGGCTGGAGAGAGACAAACGATCTCCAAGGGAAAGCAGGGGAGCTGCCACCGCTGCGTTCCTGTCTGTGGAGGGAGTGTAACCAGGGCACTGCCAGAGGCATGACACCTACCTCAAGCCCTGCTCTGATCAAAACCTCTGCTGCAAGTGGCCTGGGTGTCCCCAGACTGCCCTTGCAAGGCAGATGAGTGTGAAATATTTTCAAGCAAAACAGGGACAGAACAGTAGCCTCTCCTCTCCTCTCCCTCCCAGGAACCTCAGTGCTAGGAAATAAAGCTGAACCTGCCTTGGAGTGGCAGGGAAGGGTACCCTAGCACAGCAGCAGCAAGCAGTTTCCAGTGGTATAGGACAAGCTAGAGGTGAGAGTTCGGTGCTGTGAGGGAGAGGATGCCATACAGTTGGCTCTGGAAAGGCAGTGCCGTTCAGTGGTTGGCCCACTGCATAGCAATCCTCGTGAGAAACTGAACCTTCGTTAAACAGAATAGGAAAGGAGGTAGGAGCTATCCCCACAATTCCCTCTGGGACAGCTCCGATCACAGCGGAGGAAGAGAGACTGGAATGACCCCTGCCAGTTCCTGAATGCCCTGCATTGCCCCTGCTGGTGCTGTGGCCCTGCCCTGCGTGGGTTGTGTGGGGGTGTGGCTGCTCTACAGGTCAAGCAGCAGCACGCGGGGATCCTCCACCGCTGCCTTGATCTTGCGCAGGAAAGTCACTGCCTCTCTGCCATCAATCAGCCGGTGATCATACGTCAGCGCCACATACATCATGGGCCGCACCTCGATCTGAAGGGGAGGAATAAGACAGGCATTAGTGAGCTCAGCCCTACTGCCTGTATAATACCCTCCTGTGAATTCTGGGAAGACTTGGGCTTTTTCCTATTCTGAATCCAGGGCTCAGGCCCTCCCGGATGTGTCCTGCCTGGCAGGATTACTGACCCGCTCACTCACCCAGGCACTGATCACCACTCAGGCTGGGTCCGCACCACATAAGACTACGTCCCTTTCTGGAGCTGTTCTCTATCACAAAGGCTACAGCCTATTCCTCCCCACACCTAAGCAGATTATCCATTTCTCCCCCTCACAGATAGGACAAGGCCCCCTGCAGACCTCAGGCAAGTACCAGTGCCAGCAAAGCTGCCCTACACCCATTAGTCTCTGCTCCTCCTTCACAGTAAAGCCTTTTATAAGTTGACACCAACCCCCTAGAAAAAGGTTATGGGCTATGGTCCTCATCCCACTGAGCTCTCCCCTATGTTCACTGAAACCTCCTGCACAGCTCCACCTACCTTGCCTCCCACAGCTACAGGCCTGTCAAAGATGGCATGCATGCCTAAGATGGCAGACTGGGGTGGGTTAATGATAGGTGTCCCAAAGAGTGACCCAAAAACCCCTCCGTTGCTGATTGTGAAAGTGCCGCCATCCATGTCTTCAATGGCCAGTTCGTTCTTCCGTGCCTAGAAGAAAAAGCAAGGTCTTGGAAAGCTGCACAGATCACAGAAGGCAAAGGACAAGGGTTTGGACGTTCACTCTCTCCAGGAATAAATGCTGATGGCAAGACCTTCACTTATTGATCTGTTCAGCTGAAAACCAGCACGAAGTACTTGAAAATGCATCCTGTCTTTAGATCTGAACATTTACTGGCTTTGGGGAAGGATTCTCTTGCCTTCGCTTCCAACTCCTGCTTTTGCAGGAGACGGACACAGGGACTTCTACCCCAGGGCAGTTCAGCCTTGGCCTCTAGAGACAAAGGTGAAGACACACCATGTCACTAATGCATAGTTTGCAGTCTTCTGGAAGGGCAACAAGTAGACAGACCTGTCCTGTAAGGCACAGGCACAGCTACAAATGTAACTGGATCACTCCCCACAGCACAACTCAGTGTGTTAGAGGTCAGAGATGATGACACAGAGGGACTGAATCAATTCATGCCTATTCAGCACCCCCAATTCTTCCCATTCCTCCCAACCCTTTTCAGAAAAACCTCCAACTTTCCTTACCTTCTCCCCCAACTCGTAGATAGCACGCTCTATGTCAGCAAAGTTCATGTTTTCTACATTCCTAACGACAGGGACCACAAGACCCTAGGGAGAAGCATAGTGCATGGTCAGCAAATTCACCGCAGCAACACACGTAACTGTTAAGGGGCAGGAGCCTGGCCTCAGCCCAGCAGAGTTCCTGCCTCCTCCTCAGCACACAGCAGGTGGTTGGCAGAGCTGCCTTGCACCTTGGCAGCCTGCCGGGAAACCTGGCATGACAAGCACTAAGGGCCGACACCTTAGTGTGTACTGAGACATCATCTTTGCCTTTGTAAGCCCGTCTCATAAAATCAACCAGGTGTGCCTGGATCCAGCTCCACGTCCATAAAAGCAGGTGAGACACTGGGTAGAGTTCAGCTGCCACCTCTTTCTCCACCAGAAGAGTCGAGTCCCTTTAAGATGGACCTCCCCTAGACTTTGGGAGCAGTGACAGAACTTCAGTCGTGGTTCTGTTGTCAGGCAGAGGTTTGGCCAACTAATTCAACATCTGTAACTCCATCCCATACTCTGCCTGGACAGGAACATCTCTTTGAAGCAGCAATGTCATTTACAGAAATGGTGGAACAACACAGCAGGGTTAGCCAAAGGACAGGACATGCAAAGCTTTTACTGTCTATGCCATATCCTCATGGGTCCACAAAAAAAGAAAAGGACCTTGTTACTCCATCTCCTAGCACAGTGGCAGAATATTCTTTGTCCTCCACCTCCTCCCAAAACCATCTCAGCAGTCCACAATATATCAGATGTCTCATTTAGAAGATCAGTCTCATCAGTAAGTTTCTGTTGCAGCAGAGCTCAAAGCTGAGTTGGCTCAAAGTATACGACCATCCCATGATCCGAGGCTGCAGGAAGCATGGCCAAAGCATCCAAGGTACCTACCCGGGGAGTTGCTACAGCAACACTGATGTCCACATAGTCCCTGTACACAATCTCTTTGGTCGTGTCATCAATCACTAGAAGGAGAAAGAAGCTGTTTTTCACATGCAGTACCCAAGATCAAGGGCTCAACAGGACAGACATAGCCACAAAATCATAACAACTTGTTCATCTCTAGCTTAAACATAACTCCAGAGAAAAATGAGCCCTCACTGCACCTGTGGGAGAAGCACCAGGGTAGACAGAAAGGAAACACAGTCCAGATAGGTCAGTCCCCCTCGGACATTCCCTTGGTTATTCTCTTCTTCTAGATTTGAGCAAGTACCTCTGACACTGCCCAGGAACTGCATCACACCTACAGCAGCTACCTCTACACCAACCAGCAGGCTCTGCCCTCTGCAGCTGTGTACGCATGGCCCCAGCCCCATTCCTGGCAACCCCTTCCTAATAGAGCCCCTCTTGGCAAGCTGTCCTCTACCTACATAAGCGGCATTAGCAAAATCAGCTGCAGCACGTAGGACTGTCCCCCTTTTTTCTGTGTATTTGACTTGCTTGTCCAGGCTATGTGCCCTGCCATGGACTTGGGCCACCTGCTTTCCCCCACTCTGCCACGTTCACTGGTGAGACATGCAACTCACCAGCAAGGGTCACCACTCACCTGCATTCACAACGGGCTGGTCCTGCAGAGCAAAAGCTGCAGCTTTCACAAAAGCTGACATGAAACCTAGCTTCAGATTGTGCTTTTTCAGGAAGGGATCCTTGTGTACAGCTCTCATCTCCCGGATGTTGCTGCAAAACACATGATAATGCTGGTCAGCAGGGAGCCCAAGAAAACACCATTCCGTTGCTCTGTAACAGATTTCAGTGCCAGCCCCAAGGACTGCATAACTGCACCACCAACCGGCAAACTCCCAGTCTGCTGAAAAATCCTTCAAATGTCATAGATGAAGTGGGCTGAAGGTGGCTCTAAGGCCCCTGCCAAAGGATCTAACAGGCACTGGTCCTGGACGACAAACTCCACAGGACAGGGTTAACCTGCATGGCCCACACTGCCAGGCACCTAAGCAAGATGGGGCATGGTGTATTTCCTGCTTAGACCTGATGTTGCCACCGATTCTCTGGAGACACCAGTGCTGCCACCAGTGTGGCACCACAGACAGCAACAGCAGGTGTAGCTGGGCCAGCCCTGGAAGGGTGAAAAACCAGAAAATGCCAAGAGCAGAAAAGATGCACGTGGTGTCAGAGGGAAAAGACTTCAATCACTGTGCAAGTCCAGCACCAGCCAGCACAACAATGCCTCCGTACCCAACTCTCCAGCTTTGGGAGTTGCACAAATATGAAAGAAATCTTCCCAGATGCTATGGTAGTGGGTGCCAGCCCACCTGCAGCCCTCAACCAGACTAATCATGTTTCCCCGCTGCTTCTATTTATCAGAACTCAGGCCATTTACAAAACTCAACCAAGCTGTGGCTACAACCTCTGCCTATTGTAGGCTAATACCAGAGCTGTGGAATTGCATGGTCCATCCCTCCCCCCTCCAGAGACCTGGAGCCTTTGAAGAGACAGCTTCAGCAAGGCACAGGGGTCTCCATGGTTTAGAGTGTTTGTTTTCCTGTGCCTAACCTTGTTTAGGGCTAGGATTACCACCCAAAGACATTAGTGTCTCCCAAGACACAAGGACTGCAGCAATGAGGACGAGGTTTGCTATGAAACTGGCTCATTATGGCTTCCTCCTTTCAGATGCTGACCCCCTGCGGGAAGCAGGAGGCCCCAGCACAGGTCCTCACGAGTCAACCTCACAGCAATCAATCCAAACCAGATTACCAGATGCAATGAGAGCCCGAGGCCAGCGTAAAGCGACACCTCAATGAGCCTCTGAGAGGAGATAAAGCTGCAGCACTTCCTCTCCAATCAAGACTATTTTGCCAACCTTATTGTTCTGAGACCCAAATATTTACATGTTTTGTCTTAAGGAGCAGAATAGGATTTCACAAGGCAATTTGATTTGGGCACAATTTCCCCTTAATGCACTGTAACATAAGCTGCCCACCCTCCAAAACCATTAGTGTGTTCAGTCCGTGCAAGCACGAGTCAGAAGACCCCCACCTGCCCAGAGGGGATGGAGAAGGATGATAGTCTGTCTCTGGAAAGCTACATCATCTGACAGCAAAGGCCTCAGACCTATGTAGTGCTCACCTGAAAGGCTGATGAGCCCCGGGGAACCACCTCATTGGAAGCTAAATATGCCCACCTCCAAAAGCAGTAACCTGGTGGGGTGGCAGAAAGCAGATGATACATCTTGCTGTCTTCTAATCACCACTATACAAGTGATAGTAGTCACTCCTGGTCTTCTGCTCGACATCTACCAGTCCTCAACCAAGAACTACACAGATGAGGAACCAGACTGCCCCTTTTACAGGCAGCAGATGACTCCCAAGGAATGACAGGCCATTAGGAAGCTACGCACCCCTCATACTGCAACACCAACGTGGCCGTGATGAAGCTGTGCAGATCGTGGTACTCACCTAAGAAAGAGGTCCCAAAAGACATGTTGCCAATCTCTCCAAAGAGAATCAGCAAGGTCTTGACTGCTATTTAAAGATGACTGCCTGCATCTATTTCTACTTGCAAAGGGAAAAAGAGGTCTGCTCCTCACCTCATATCGATCTCATTGAAAGTGGTCAGCATGGCACAAGTATTCTGAGCCTCTTTCAGCCGCTGAGCAATACGCTGACGCATCCTATTCATTTTCACCTGAAAATTAAAAAGATATAAGCAGAAGCTACCTCAAGCTCATTCAAGGGGCAAAATGCACAAAAAACTCAAAAGGCCCTTCTTCTTGCCATCTGGTTGACTAGCAATAGATGCTTAGGGCCAAGGTTTTCACTCTAGGTCTCCCTGAGGAGCATGACAGGCTGAGCTGATTTCACTAGAGCTGCCCAGCTCAACACACAGTTCACTTGAAAAGCAGTGCTGAAATGCATCACAGTATAACTACTTCCAACCTATGTGTTTCTCAGGACCTCCAAGCATGCATAGGTTTCCAGCATGAGGCTAATGTGAAAAGAGCAAGACTGCTAAGAAAGCAGGCTGCTCAACCATGTTCTCTTAAGAATGCACAAGGCAGCTGCAGCAGCCTCAGCCCTTTGCTGAGGCCTTGTGGACAGACCAAGCAGATCACACTGAGCCTTCTGTGCTCAGTCAGCAGAGTTCAAGACAAGACTTTTACCTAGAAAAGACCTGCATCAGATCAGACCTGGCTCCTCCTCCAGCCCACCCCTAAGCGGTGCCCTCATGTAGAGAATTTCACATCTGTCACAGCCCCACTGAGCTGGATGTGAACAGGTAGATACAGACTCATCCAGAAAGCTCAAGACTTATGCCAGAACAGACTGTCACCCAGCAACAGAAGCCTTGGCAAGGCCCCTACTCCCACAGCTTACCCTATGTTCTGATCGGGCACCTTTGCTGGGCACTGCCTCCCCAGGAGGGGCTGCCGCTGGGGCTGCAGCTGGCTTCACCGCAGACACTGAGGGTAAAGAACACATCAGTCAAAAAGGGAAGCCAGGGCTTAATTGCAATGCCCTGAGGTAGAAAGCCCATCTGAGCTCCTTGCTCAAGCAACACGGTGCGGAAACAGCCTTGAATTGGGCTGGGCAGGTTCCAGGCATAGCTGAGCTCTCTAGTCTGGAGCATGCAGGGCAATAATGCAGGGAGGCCTTCACCATAAATGCCAGACTGTTTGCTGTCTTTAAGCTTACACACTCTCCCCAAGTGAGAGAGGCTTGAAAATAGGAGAAAATGGCTGTTGGCTCACCTGGTTTGCTATCAATGGGCTGAGTTGACACAGGCGGCACTGGTGGCATTGTAGTGGGAATTGGTGCTGCAGCAGGGGGAGGAGCAGCTGCAGCTACAGGTTCAGGGGCTGCAGGAGGAGGAGGGGCTGCTGCTGGTTTGGCCTTGGCAGGAGCAGCTGAAAGACAAGGAAGAACCATGGTAAGGGCAACAAGAGCTTCCACTGTCAGGGATCTCTGAGTCCAACCAACCTGATAAAAGTTAACCCTCCAGCAGAGTGCCTTTATGTTCTCAGCACTACTGAACTGATAGGAGCCACCACAAGAGGATCCCAAGGTGAAAGTGTTTTACTCATCGACACCCTAGATCTCCTCGCTGTGCACAAGACTGAATGCTAAAGAGAAGAGGGTGGAGAAGGGAGTTCTATCAGTGGAATTCTCAATTAATTTTAACTTAGAGCTGCAGTCTCCTCCAGAGGGAGCAAAAGGAAATTTCCACCCCCAGAAGGGCTGAAATTATGCTTTTCTAATGGAAAAAAAATAGGAGTATTTTCTTCCAGCTAGAGAGGCAGATGGAGGAAACATTTAACCTCTCTCAGGATCCCTCTAAATGCCTTGCTTCCATCTTCAGAAAAAGACTGGTGGAAACAGGAAGGCCTATGCAAGTTATACAGGCCTGACTTACCCCCAGTTTTCCTGAGTTTGAACAGAGGCGTTCCCCCTTCCACTTTGCCACCATCAGGTACCAGAAGGGCTTCAATCACACCAGCTGCTGGGGCTGGAACTTGCACTGATGTCTGCAAAACGGAAAATCAGTGAAATTCCCCCAAACATTGGATGGAGAACAAGTGGCCAAGATGCCAATATGCATAGATAAGACATTGTAATTTGGCACAGACGGCAGCTCTGTCTCGCACCATTTGCGCCTGTTTTCACACCCCCCACTGGGATTTTGTGCCAATGCTTAGAAGTTTTGGGAGATGCTGGCAGTGTAACATATAGCCTGATCTTCCTGCTCCAGGGTACAATCAAGAATTGACCTGCTGCCAGCATCTTCTTGACAGCAACACCAGAAGCAGAACTTGGCAGGGCATTTTAGCAAGAACTTCAAAGCTTAAGAGTCCTTTAAGGAGTGAGTAAACTTAAAGGCTAAATTTTAAACAGTCTGAAGACATCCTATGGCTCTGCAGATTTCTCCTCTGTTTAAACACAAACATGTTTCAAAGCTTAGAGCACTGAAATTGGAAGGAAGAGTGGAATTGCAGCTCCAACAAACATCAGCACCACTGATGCTTAATCGAATGTATGAGGAAGGAAAGAGTTATCAAAGAATTCTCATTTAAGGCACAGCCAGCTTTCATACTAGATGAGAAAAGCTTTTCTCCATCACGGAAGCAGGAGACACAGGCAGGGCCTGCAGGCTTTAGGAGCATTTAGCAGGGAGGAGCCATACAGGATACCTGCTACAGAACTATAAAAAGTTTTGGTCCAGAAAACTCCTACCTTGTCTGTTTCAATCTCACACACCACTTCATCTTCCGCCACTGTGTCTCCAACAGCTGAATGATAGATATGAAGACCACTGTGAGGAGGGAGGTGTGCTCTGGCCTCCCCTCTTAACCCACAGCAGTCTCCCCCACTAATCCAGAATGTTCTCACTCCAGTTCTCCACAGCTGCTAAAGAAAAGTCTAGCTCAAACATCAATCTACTGCAGAGTCTGATTCCAGTTTAGACATCACCCTTCACCCAACATCACCCGTGACAGAGAGGTGCTGAGGCAGTAACTGCAATCCTTACCCCTCAGAAGAACTGCAATTAACTGCCTCATTGTCACAGACTGAAAGGCACAGAGCAGGCTGTCAGCCAGTGAACTACAATGCACCCCCGAGCTGCCCAGTGCAGCAGCAACGGTTCTGAGAATTTCAGGGAAGAGGCACCAGCTTACCTTTCTCCCACCTGACATCTCCTTCTGTGACTGACTCTGCAAAGGCTGGTGTGTTCACCGTAACCACGTCATCCCCTGTGAGAGAGAGAGAGACAGACTTGAACGCATTCAGAGCTCAAAACTTATGGCATTGCTTCATTCTTGTCATCAGGACTCTACTAGAGGGAGTAAGTCAACAGACATCAAAAGTTGGCCTTCTCCTTGCTTCAACACTGATTAACACAAGAGAATTCCCATTTGACTGAAAGTCACATTGTGACAGGAATGCCAGACAAAATCTTTAGGGCCCCAGGACATAAACGCTCAATCATCCACCAAGGTGGGACAGCAGTGGACCTAGACCAAGAATGGAAGAGGCAGCTTCAGCTGTTGTCAGGACACCAACAGGTAGCACAAGAGCCATCCCGCTGACTCCTGACTTTTTACTTACTACGTACTGCAGTGGTTCTGAAGTAACGGACGGTGAAGACACTGGAGCTATTTACTCTGCAGAAAGAGAGAAAGACATGAACACAGAAGTATGTTCCTCTGCAGGCTGCCAGCACCAAGCTGAAGTACAGAATTTACACTTGCTTAACTGATCTGAAAGGCTGCTCAGCTGTTCTGATGTATTTGTTCCAAGGACACCTACTTACTGTTTAAGCTGCAACAATCCCACTAAGAAAGGAAACATTGCAGCTTACCATCACTAGCGCTCTCAGTAACTCAGTGAGAACTGACATTTAAGGAATTTTAATTTAGGGAGGCAACCCAACAGAACCCCTGCAGTTCAAATACTGATAAAAGGCTGACCCAGACAGCCCACCCTACACCCAAGACTAGTGCAGTAACCATTTTCTACCTCCAGATCAGGACTGTCGATCTCTACAGAAGTTGCTAGATTGCTCCAAAAAAAGAGAAAGTCCCATAAATTGCCTATGGCAACACATCCAAGAGACAGCTATTTCTCTCCACCATGTCCCTTCACAGGGAGCTGGCAATCCCAAGCGTTCCAAAGGATTTTTTTTATATCTACTGACACCGCATTTGGAAACCTGAAGCAAACGTGCTTTAGCATTTCCTCTAACACAGGCTACTTGGTGCAAACAGACCAGCTTTTCAGGCTTTTATGGATATACTCTTAAGGTTATTTCCCCAAATACATTTTTACAAGACCGTCTCAGCAATACAAACCTTGCCATATGAACAACAGCTCCCTGAACCATGCCACTTCTCCTGACAGAAATCCTACCAGGAGGCCACCATAGAGCAAAGACTTCTAGTCAGATAATCAAAGGCTAGAGATCCATTTATCACCAGTCTCCTCATTCCCATCCCTTCCATGCTTCAGTATCTGGTTCCAAACAAGGTTTATTTTCTTTAAGTGTGCCAGAGTTCCTGACCTGCAAAACCTAGATTTTGTTAAGGCTAGCTCCACGCTCCTATGATGTGCACAGGGATTTTATGACAGCCAACCATATTCTGCCTCCCAGCTCCCAAATCTTATCAGGGCTAGAGCAGCCCCAGCCTCTCCACATCACAGCTTTCCTGCAGATACTTACACAAGCTTCCTGCTGTTCATGTAAGCCAGTCCCTGGCTCCCAGCCACACCTGTGAATGAAAATGGTGTTACCCCACAGGAACGTTGTCCAGCCCTCAAGTGTCCCTGTCAGGTAAAAGAGTGCAAAGGATACCACTGTCCACCCTGAAAGAAGCTTGCAACTAAGTGGGGAATATAAGCATACAGAGGCACATCAGTGCCATCAAACCTGCCCAGAGCTTGCCAAGAACAGTGGTCTTGTCTTCATCTAGACTTATAGAGATGGGAAAAACAGTTGTATCTTGACCTCAATTCTAATAAGGATAACTTTGAAAAGGGCAAACAAAGCAGCAGCTACCCCAGTCAGAACAAAACCAGGAAACAGCTACAAGGAACACCTCCAGGACTGCTGAAACCTCAGTTGCTGCTGAGTTATCCTCACCAATACAAAGGGGTTCCTAATAGGAGCAAGGCATCAGTCCCGTAAGAGGCACCCCCAGGAAGCCTCACAGTCGCATGGATAGGTAAGGAGTCAAAAAAGAATGAAAACAGCATGTTGGGCAGAGTAGCAAGCCACCATCACCCCTGCTCTCTGTCTACCCCTTGTCCCAAGAACATTTCTTTTCCAAAGCTCACAGCAGGGAGGTACTTGCATAGCTTCTCAGTTTCACATACCCCACCATCCCCTTCCCACACTGCTCACATGCCCTGACACTGCAATTTTTATTACAAACCGAACTCCTGTCCTTTGTCTTTTTCAGAGCACTGGGCAGTCTTCCAGTCTGATCTTAAAGAGAGTCAGCATAGCAACTGGAGAACATAGTTATCTCAATTACACAATGCCAGAAGGAAGAACCATTTCCCCACTTGATTTTTAAAAAAAGTGATACAATTTTGACACCATCCCCTACTAAAGAGCTGCTATTGGAACTCTAGGAGCTGGAAAAGGTAAGCAGATTTAACTGGTTTCTCAATGTGGAATCAGAAGTGAGTGAGGTAATGCTACATAAACACAGTACGGCTAGAAAAAACAGAGCTCTGGGAAAATCCAGTTTAAGTACCGAAGAGGAGTTCATAGGCATACTAGATTTGACATGTCACTTAATATTCACCCATCATTTTCAAAGGAATTTATTAGAGAGCTAGGCTCTGCAACAGTATGTGTTTCAAGCACTGCAGTGCTTGAAATACACTGTGCTGCTGCTGTGAAATCTTCACCAGAGCTGAATGGATTGGGCAGTACAGACATTAGGCAAGGGAGGCACTCACATGGAAACACAGCTCATTTCACCAACTGTTTCTTCATTACATGACTGACGGAAATAAACCCCAATCAAACTTATTACCAACTTCCATCATCAGCTCTGTTCTGTCTAGGTAGTTTGAAATGAAATAAAAGCATAAGACTCACCAGACAGAGAGCATCTTGCCAGAGTACAGTTCCCCTGTCAGAGAGAAGAGGAACTATCAGTATTGCAAAAAGACAGACCCACCCTAGAAGGACTTTGGTTTTCCCATGAGACCTAGATCAGAGACAGGACCAACCATTCCCATGCTCCAGACTGCAGGCCTGCTACTTTCCCATAACGTGCAATAGCAGGAGACAGCGAGAGCATCTACACCCTCCTCTTTGCTTTGTCTCCTTCCAGGATTCTTTCCTGTGGAGCGATGTTAAACCTCATGCACTTGGTTTCCAGTTGTGGCTCCAGCTGTTTTGACCTTCTCATGCATACTTTCCCCTTTAAGAAGGAACAGATTTCTAAGGACTCATTCACTAAAATTTGCTATGAATGAGAAGGTCAAGGGTAGCTACTGGATACGACAATAAAACATCCCATGATGTTTAATCCTATAGTCACAAATGCAGCATCTGGGGTTTTTTTGTTTGTTTGTTTTAAGGCTATGAAGCCTTTGAACTCCAGAAGGCCAGAATTTCCCTTGATGGAAAAATTTCTACTGCCCTCAGTGAGCCAGGAATTCCACCTTCTGGTGATGTTTCACTTCATACTCATGTAATCATTGACTGCACTCCTAGCTCAGTGTAACATTCCTCAAAAGTAAAAGATGTTTCAAGATATTCCAGTTACCTTCCCTATTGTTATTACACATTTCTCTAGCATCAAACCTGCAGATTTGGAGAATCTAAGAACTCTTTAAAAGCTATAGGAAAATATCACAGTAACCATGACTAAAATGCAGTTGACTGGTTTGGAAGAACAGCTACCCAACAGCTCAAAGCACCCTTATCCAGCAGCTAAGGTAAGAGGTAAAAATTAGATTTCATTCACATCTTCAGTGTCTGAAGGGAAGTTTGCTTATAAGCCCTGATTTCAGCTTCACCAGAGCAAGCAGGATGGGATATAACTGATCTTAAATACCAAAATAAATTGTGGAGCTGTGTGTGATAAGACAGCATCGAGGACCACAGAGATACTTAAGCTTGTCACACCATCTGCAGGACTGAGAGCTGTAGCATACAAAAATATATTCAGTGAACACTTCGTATCATCAAAACTACTAACAGGTCTGGAATCAGCCGCTTGGCAGTTTAATTACCTGAACGTATTGATCGATTTGGCTTCTCAGATATTAACACATGGTCAACTCAATGATCAATGGGCAGTTCAACAGGGTTACGATTAGCTGTGCCGAGGATGCAGGTGGCCAGGCTGACTTGCTGCTCAGCCAGCGTGGGTCTGGCAGAGCTCAGGAGCTCCAGCACAGTGCCATGCAGCTACCCTATTTTCCAGCCCACTGCAGGGACTGACAATCCTGGACCAACAGTCCTGCAAAAACAGCCTCCAGCAGGGCCTGCTGGGGCCCCTGCCCCAGGTCCGACTGGGGAAGGGAAAGCAGGGAGCACTGCACAGACTTTGCAGAGTCATCGCGAATGCTACAACACTTAATCTTGGTGCAGCACAGGCGCCCTGCTAACTCAGATCTGGTTTGTTTAGAGACAGCCCTAAGCTGGGATCAATAAGACAAATTTCAAGTTAACTCTGCTTGGTCAAGCGTCTAAAGCACCACAATCCTAAGCACATAGGTTAGTTCCTGTATTGATCCTGTATTGAAGCAACCTGAGCTCTCCTCTGCCCATTAATGTTTTCCTGGGTGCTTCATAAAAAAAGTGGTAAAGGTATTCCTAGCACCCTACACATAACTTGTTAAGAAAGAGGTACAGACCCAGCCTGAGGTAAAATCAGCCAATTTTATTTGCTCATGACCAGTTTACTGTAAGGTTTAAAAAAAAAAGTTTAGAAGGCCTGTCCCAAAATAAATTGTTGCGAGAAAACACACCTGCAGCTCTCTTCCATGATGAAAGCTCCACAACCACTGCAAAATTAAGGAAAAAACTGGTATCATTCTACCCTTCTGTCTTTCAGGTTAAGAAGTGAGGGAAAGAGCTCTAATGGGAGGAAGAAGCACTAATGAAAGATAAGGAAACTCTCTCTCTCTTGTGTCCATCCCTTAACCACAGTACCTCAGAGATGCACGTGCAGCTCTGAGAGGTGCCTGACAGGGTTGCTTCCTGTTCCCTTTTTCCTGGAAGGAATCACTGTGATTGCACCTGTTCCTGGCATCACCTGGCTAAATCTGCCTCTGCCTGATCTTGGAGCTTCTTCAGCGAAAATAGAAACATTTAGTTTTCGCTAGCTGGCATTAGCACTTTGGGTCACTTTAAAGAGACAGCATTCACTTGAAGAAATAAGTCTTGGTCTAATTAGCTAGTGACTCACATACCAAGTGATTAATTTTTCCCCTACATTTCACATGACTTCTCAGAATTGCTTTTATAACTGTTATTATGTCAAAGGGACCCTGGCACACAGTGTCCCAGGCCACACCTTTCAAGGAGTAATCACCTTCCCATAGGTCACTACACAGTGAAATAAATTATGGAATACATCAGCTAAAGCGACAGCCTGTATACCTACACATTTCTTCTCCAGGAGTGGGAACAGTGACCAGTTCAGGTAAGGACACTAACTGAACAGGAAGATACAGTTAATTTCAACAGAGGCAAAACAGAAGCCCAGTGCTGGGCAGCTCTGACAACAGGCAAAGCAGCAATCAGTTGTCCAGCCCTGGCTTCTTCAAAGCAAAGAAGCTGCTGCTTTAACAACAAGGATGAGCACAAACCACTGCTACACACAAAAAACCCATAGCACATCTTTCATGGATTTTAACACAATTATATACAGCATGGCAGGGCAGATGCTAAGATGGGATGGAGATAACAATGCTGAGTGGTAAAGGATACTGTTACTAAGATGACAGACTGAGACCTCCTCCAGCACACAGGGAGGATCAAACAGGGAAGAAAAAGTTCTTTACAAACTCTTCCCCAGATAAACAGGAGGACTTGATTCTCAAAGCACTGAATGTAGCTCCTAATCAAACCATCCTTTTTCAGACTAGCTCTTCTCTGGACTTTTTCAGGTCATCCTTCAACAGCTGCCTCTCCTCCTCCACCCCGAGTCTTACATGCTTGGATGCAGGCTATTGATGCACATTCATGATTTCTACCTGATACATGAATCCAGGACCTTTTTCTCTTCTACGAAATCATCAAAATCCAGCCAACCCTGCCCTACTCTCCTTGTTTCTTGCTGACTCCACTGTTCTCCCATTCAAACCTACACTTTTGAATTTTTTACACATCTATTGTTCTCACTTCTCCCATCAGAGGTTTGCCAAGTTCTGGCATTTCTTTCCACCTTACCAAAGGCCTGTATTATCCTTTTCATCAAAACTTACTTCCCATGTCCCTACTGAAATGGAAATCAAACTACTGCTACCATCTTGACTTCTCAACTTTTTTAGTACATCTAACAGGTTAACTAAATTTATCTCCCCTTCCTAGTACTCAGCTATAACCTCCTGTAACCTCCTGATTTGCAGACTAGTTTTGCAAAAGGTTGGAATACTCCATCTGGCTTTCCCCTCTGTTCTATGTAATTACACAGCACCACTGAGAGCTGACAAAGCATAAATATTGTTAAAATGCCACTTAAATAAGGTTATTTTAACCTGCACTATAATCAGTTTGTATCTACATATAACAAAATATAACTATGTAGTTAGTTATAAATTGTTTACAGTGGTTTTATATACACACACAGAGATATTTATAAACACAAATCTGTTTCTAGTGCCAAGAGGCAAGCATTTAACACACAATAGCCCTACAGGGAAGCATAACATAATGTTCAACATTACAATTAGCTGTCAACACTTGCTCACCTACATTCACACAATGGCTAAAATCAAATCTCATGCTCTAAGGCTTCAGCTGGTCATTTGGAAGAGAAGTGATTTTTTTCCTCCTGTAGGCATGCATATATACGTACATATGTGCATGCTTACATATATGTACTTAGATAAAGCTGTGCATGTTTGCTATTTAAACGGAAGACATGGCCCGAAGTCAGCAAATGACAGAAAAGAGCGGGCCAAGTGCCGCCACGATGTTGATTTGAGTTGCTGGCTCTGGCTATCGGACCCCGCAAGCCCAGGCTACCGCCAGCACAGGTTACTGCTGTTTGCACTGGTTGGTTCAACGACCGCTTTGAAAATGGAGCACGGGAATTAAGTAAGAAAGTAGGCACCACTTCATTTGCGGTTTCTGCACCGGGCGGACCCCGGCCGGGGAGGGTCTCTGCCGGCGGAGGCCGGGGTGGGGGGGAGGGAGCGAGTCACGGCTGCCAACAGAGCCGCCCCCCAAACCGCTTCAGCCCGGCGACAGGCGGCGACGGCGGAGCCCGAGAGCGGCGCTTTTCGGAGGCTCTTCCCCTCGGTCAGCTCTGCCCGGTGCCGCAGGCGAGGCGCCGCCTCTCCCGACAGAGGCGGCGGGCCCGGCCCGGCCCGGCCC